GGCTGGGTGCCACCACCGAGAAGGCCCTCTGCCTGGTTCCCTGTAGCTTTGCTACTCGCAGTGAGGGAACCACCAGAAGGCCCTTGGCACTGGACCTCAGTGTCCGGGCTGAACGATGGGGGTGGAGATGCTCCTTCAGGTATACTGGGGAAGGAAGTAGGAAAGGAATCACCAAAGTACTATCATAGGCTCTCCTGGCAAGCTTACCAGGGGCGGGGGCAATTCTTAGGCCAGCACAACTTTTCTTTTGAAGGGAAAGAACATGAGCCAGGTCAGGTGGCTGCAAGAGCTGCCATCTTTATTCCCTTGAAATGTCTCCATCGCCCAGAGTGGCATTGCTGCATGGGGATGGGCAGAGACTGTAGCGACTATGTATGGCGTGGATGGGGGAAAGTTTATATCCCTCTCTCATAACACTAGAACTTGTGGACATTCAATGAAGCTGAATGTTGGGAGATTCAGGACAGATAAAATAGAGGGCTTATTCACGCAGCACATAGCTAAACTATAGAATTTGCTCCCAGAGGAGGCAATGGAAGCCACCAGCCTAGTTAGTGTCAAAGGAAGATTAGACAAATTTATGGAGGAGAGGACTATTAACAGCTGTAAAATGTAAAGGTATCTCTTGCCAAATGCAAGGTGGTTATTTGAAGAAGAAGAAGAAGAAGAAGAAGAAGAAGAAGAAGAAGAAGAAGAAGAAGAAGAATATTTATACCCCACCCATCTGGCTTTGTTTCCCTAGCCATTCTGGGCGGCTTCCAACAGAAAATTAAAATACAATAGTCTATTAAACATTAAAAGCTTCCCTAAATAGGGCTGCCTTCAGATGTCTTCTAAAAGTCTGGTAGTTGTTATTCTCTTTGACATCTGGTGGGAGGGCGTTCCACAGGGCGGGTGCCACTACCGAGAAGGCCCTCTGCCAGATTCCCTGTAACTTGGCTTCTCGCAGTGAGGGAACCACCAGAAGGCCCTCGGCACTGGAACTCAGTGTCCAGGCAGAATGATGGGGGTGCAGATGCTCCTTCAGGTATACTGGACCAAGGCCATTTAGGGCTTTAAAGGTCAGCGCCAACACTTTGAATTGTACTCGGAAACGTACTCGGAGCCAGTGTAGATCTTTCAAAACCGGTGTTATGTGGTCTCAGCAGCCGCTCCCAGTGACCAGTCTAGCTGCTGCATTCTGGATTAGTTGTAGTTTCTGGGTCACCTTTAAAGGTAGCCCCACATAGAGCTCGTTGCAGTAATCCAAGTGAGAAATAACCAGAGCATGCACCACTCTGGCAAGACAGTCCGTGGGCAGGGAGGGTCTCAGCCTGCGTACCAGATGGAGTTGATAAACAGCTGCACAGAATTGACCTGTGCCTCCATGGACTGCTGTGAGTCCAGAATGACTCCCAGACTGCGCACCTGGTCCTTCAGGGGCACAGTTATCCCATTCAGGACCAGGGAGTCCTCCTTACCTGCCTGTCCCCCAAAAACAGTACTTCTGTCTTGTCAGGATTCAACCTCAACCTCAAAATGAGATTCAGAAGCGATCCAAAACACAAGTAAATGAGAAGATTGAAGGTTTTATTCTAAACAGCAAGCAATATATACATACCAAGTGTGCACTTCCTTCTGCCACTTGGAAGCCCTCGAGAAGTGGAGAAGTGACTCCCCAGATGGCCTCGGGTTGCACGACCCTGCAGTTGATCAGTCGCAGTGCTCATCTCCACTTTCAGGCCGAGGGAGCCGGCGTTTGTCCACAGACAACTTTCCAGGTCATGTGGCCAGCATGACTAAACAGCTTCTTGCACAATGGAAGACCATGACGAGTGCCAGAGCGCACGGAAAAGCCATTTACCTTTCTGCCGCAGTGGTACCTATTTATCTATTTGCACTGGCATGCTTTCGAACTGCTAGGTTGGCAGGAGCTGAGACAGAGCAACAGGAGCTCACTCTGTCACATCTGGCTGGCCATCATGAGAACAGGATGCTAGATTAGATGGGCCATTGGCCTGATCCAGCAGGCTTTTTTATGTTCTTACATGCACTGGGAAGACAAGGAGGTAGCAGCCTTTGCCCAGAGGTTCTCCTTTCAGCACCAGGACCTTAACATTTTCTTCTTGGTTTTTTTTCCTTCCAAAAAGAGAAATTCGACTACAGAATAAAACCATTTCAGTTTGCAATTAAAGGTGACTCTTTCTGAAATAATGCTGAACCAAACCACCAACACTTTTCAAAATCCTCACATCTCCAAATTTTGCAATGCTGTTCTGAAGGCAAGGAACGTGTATAACAATGTATTAGGATATATTGCATGTCTTAGGATATATTGTGCCAAGAAAAGCACATTTTAACAAAAATAGTACAGAAATATGTTGCATTAAGGAGCATCGCTTTGCGGTAATAGGTCTCTTAGGCGAAACTGAAAAGAAACAAGGATTTTTAAGAGAAAGTCACACTAAAATGCTGTTAAATTATCATGACAATTTTTTTAAAGAAAAAAAATGATGAGGCAATGAGGGGAACTGAACCTAGAATGGGAAAAATGAGAAACTGAGAGAAATGGGTGTTGACAGATTCACCTATCCCAACAACAACTTATTCCTATTGTTGTTATTGTTATAATCATCATGATCATTTGAATTTGCATACCACCCTTCATCCAAAGATCAGAGGGTGCTTCAAAACAAAACTAGTATCAGTCCTGCTGGACCCCCAGGCCCCAGCCTTTGCCCCATTTTACCAGGTGCTGATGACACCAGACCCATCCATCACTTTTCCAAGAAGTTATGAATATTCATTTCAGTTCCATATTACTGCAGGGTGTGAATTGGGAGCGTGGCTGAGCAGCTTCTCATTACCTAGAATCCCAGCTGGAACTGCGGATTACTGCCACTCTATAGAATCCCCTTCACAATGTGAGTTTTCACCACTGCCAACATGAAGGAACAGAATGTACCCTCAGGAAGCCCCAAGCACTTCTGGCCGAGATCGTGAGCACTGATATGGAGATGTGAGTCAAGAAATTACCGTCTCCTAGCTAATGACAGCGAAGCTGGCCAAAATCACATGGGGCATGCTAATGTAGATTAGGAATCTCCTAAAGTCGTTATCTCAATGCAAAACATTTTTAATATCCTGCCCAATTAACACTCATATACTTTTGGACTGATGCCTACACCACAAATGCTGTTCCATGAAGCTTTTCACCAGCCTTGGAGCCTCAGCCCCTCTAATTACGTCTTCAAACTCAGATCATTTCAGTAGATCCCTTAACAGTCTTGGAACGGGAACGCTCTCTTTCTGCTAGCACCAGCCTCCTCCTCAATTGCCCCTGTTCTAAAGCGAGAGGCATCAAACATTCCAAAATTCCTAGCTAGGGATGCAGGGGGAGGAGAAACCCGACTCCATTCACATTCAAAGGCAACCTTAACCAATTTGCACTTTTTGAAACATTATGCACACCGAAAAACAGCCATCCTTTCCAAACTGGCATTCCTCTGAATTTTGCAATGCTGTTCTCCAACCACAGAAATGCACATAGTGGAGTAAAATGTACATAAAGATGCATATAATAGTCCAATACTTAACCCTTGCTTGTTTAGGAGAACTTTAGGAAGCATGGAAAAAGGAAAACATGTTGGAAATGTAAAGAAAAAGAAGGGACTTTTTATCATATGTGGTAGGAATGTAGAGAAGTTAAAAAATTTGGGGAAATGATACACAATGAATTGAAAAAAAATGTTTAAAATAACATTTGTAAAAAAGAACCAGAAGCATTTCTGTTAGGGATTGTAGGACAAGACCTGCCAAGAAAAACAAATAATTTATTTATGTATGCTACAACAGCAGCAAGAGTCTTGATAGCACACAGATGGAAGAACGAGGAAATCCCAACGAAAGAACAGTGGCAAGAAAAATTGATGAGCTAAGCAGAGTTGGCTAAATTGACATACAAACTGCAGGACAAGGACAACTGTGACTTTAAGGAAGAAGGGGAGCTTTTTACAAATTATCTAAAAAGACAACAGACTGAATTGAACTCCTTGAAGAAAATCCCCAAACTCGGTTCCATGGGTGACTCTGGGTCATATCTATGCAGTAGCTTATCTTAAAGCTTATCACTTTTATAAATTTATAAATTTTAAATTTATTGTTGTACATTGTTTTAACTGTTTATTTTCTTTCTGGGATTGTACCCCCAAGTGTGTTTTATAAGCTGGTCTCCGACCGTAATAAATTATCTATCTAACTCCTTGGAAGGTTTTGAATAAACATACACAAATTTATTGGTTGATAACATGTTAGATAGATAATGTAAGGATATGTATAATTTTAGAACATGCAGAGAGCAATATGTGCTGAGAATCAGAGAGAGGAGCTGAGGGAAGTTTTTGGGGGAGAGAGGGAGGGAGGGTTTAATTGGGGGTGGGGGGAAAGGGGGGGAATAAGGAATATGATATGTTTTGACACTTTGTTATGTTGAAATTGCTAATAAAAACTTTTAAAAGAAAAGAAAAGAAACATCTTGAATACAGACATATGCACACCCCTTCCCCTGTAGCAAGGGTGTCTTTAAAGATCCTGCCTTAAATTCTTTGCACGACTTCAACACTGTTACGATGCTACAGAAACATATCCCTGGTTGACGGGGGGAATTGCTGAAAATATAATGTTACTTTCAGGAGCTCAAACAAACTCATCAAAAGGGAATGCGGACACTGACAGGCTGGACTGCTTCAGACATGTCAACCTAATCAAGGCCGATTGTGCGGATGTCTATTTATGCTCCCTGCACAGCAAACTCCTGGAGAGAAAATAGTCCAAATAAGCCTTATTAATATGGCGTGCAATTCACTGACAATTTCATGAAACAGCTGTGTTGGGAACAGTTATTTGTTACAGGCTAACCAAAATAGAATTTGACCCAAATCCGCTCTTGAAAAACCAGAATCTCTTGCAGGTTCCTCCCCCAGACCCACAAATGTTTGCTTCACAAGGGAAGGAACGTATCGGGAAGGGTCATAGCTCAGTGGTAGAGTATTTGTTTTCAGATGCAAAAGGGTGCAAGTTCAAATTCCTGGGTTCTCCAAGTAGGACTGGGAGAGGCCTATGTCTGAAGCCCTGGAGAGCTTCTGCCAGTCAACAAGACTTAGGTATATGGGCCAAGGTCTTACTCAATATAAGGCAGCTTCCTAAGAACATAAGAAGACCCTGCTGGATCAGGCCAATAGGCCATCAGAATGAGAACCCTGATTTCACAGTGGCCACCCTGATACCTGTAAGAAACTCTCAAGCAGAACCTGAACACAAGAGCACTCTCTTCCCCTGGTTTCCAACAGCTGACATTACTACTGCCTGCTAACATGGAGGCAGAGCATAGCCATTGTGGTTAGTAACCAATGACAGTCTTCTTCTTCATGAATTTGCCCAGCCCCCTCCTAAAGTCATCTAGGTAGTGACCATTGCGTGTCAAGTTCCCCCACCCCCCAGTGATAATAATGACACATGACACAATTATTAAGGTTAATGGGCAAAATAAGGCCACAACTTTATTGGTTACAGGTGATGAGTGGTATTGGCTTAGGCATTGGTCCTAACCAACTATATCTGACTTCAGCCCATCTGCTTGAAATCCAGGAAGGGTTAACCACCAGTAGGGGGAGTCCTGCTGATGCACATCAACTAGGAACTCCCCCGGGGCCACCGATTGGGGGCGCGCCTTAGGCCCTCACCTCCATAGGCTTCGGACAGGGCCACTCCCCCCCTGAATCCTTTAATGGACTACCCTTCAATATGTGGGGCAGGTAATGGCGCTTCCTCCCCTCTTCCATCTACAGAACTATACCAATCAAAGAGGGAGATCCCCGGCCACGTCCTGCCTTAAATAGGGCAGGCCACACCCCCAGAGCAAGCCAATTGGCTGGCCAGGGGGTGGCATGGCCAGGAATCCCCCCAATCATGTGGGGGCTGGGCTCCAGCCGCTGTGCGCATGGTGGGGCCGTGACGCCCGCAACCCCACCTTCTTGGTAGGGCAGAAGTGGCTTCATCATATCCCTGTGACTCCTAATCATTTGAATTTTCATCTGCCCCAAAACACCAGGAATTGTTGCTGGCATCCGTCTGTCTTGAGTGACAATGCAGTGCATCTCTGGGGGTGAAGTAAAATTTCTGAGTTAACAGCACCGAAGGGACCTCCCCAGGGCACAAGCCTCGTCAGTGTGCATGGAGGTCCTAGGCTGCCCAGACAAGACCCTCCCCCCTCAGCCTCGATGATGTGGTCCAAAATAAAGCAAAACAAGACATATGGCACCAGCTTGACTGCAGGAGTTGCTAGAAGAAGGTGTACAGGGAGCCATCTGTGATGGCCTGGGACTCGGGCTCGGACTTGGAACCAGAGGAGTCTCAGTCTGCACCAGATCCTTTGCCTCAGGCGGCATCTGAACCAAGTCTGGGGCCTGATTCTGAAGAGCCCCGTCTGCACAGGTTCCCCTGCAACAATCACCAGCTGGGCCAAGTCAGGGGCCTGAGCCTGCCCTGGCTCCAGATGCGGGGATGACCTCGTTGCCTCCAGCTGGGCCATCACTTATAGCTGCTCCACTACCAGTTGGGTCAGGGGAGGCTGAGGCAGCCTCTGCGTCTAGTAATCCACCGACATCTCCTGAGCTGCAGAGACTAAGGTCTGAGAGAAGGAGAGACCTGAGTACTCGCTGGAGGACTGAGAAGGAGAGACCTGAGTACTCGCTGGAGGAGTGCTCATCTTCAGGCAAGACAGGAAGGTGAGTCACCGGGGGACCAGGACCGGCTGCTACCCCGACAAAGATAAAAGGCTGCCGGACCCCGCCCCAGGTTGTGGGAGCAACATTGCTGTTTGCCAGAACCTGCCTGACATCCTGTGCCTGACGTTGCCAGGTTTTCTGCCTCGTGTCCTGCCTTTGCCCTGTCAGACTGACTCCTCGCAGAACCCTTGGATTTGGGACCGGACCTGGACCGTGTTACTCGGGTCACCCCCAGGCCCAGCACACCATCCACCTGTCTTAGGTACTGCACTCCAGATTTGTGTAGGGTTTACTCCTCAGCTTTATGGTCTCCCAAAGATATTCCATAAGGCAGTGAAGATTTAGGATAAGTTTTCCTTCTCCTAGATGGTTTACCTTCCCAGGTTGATGAGCACCATCTCTTCCCTCTACAACATGCGCAGAAACCACCTTCTTGACCATTGGACCCACTATTGGTTTCATCCGCTCAATCCTCCGGACTTGGAGCCTGTCTTCACATACAGGGGAGGTCTCTAATTCACTGAGGGTTTGAGACCCATTGGCTACCTTCACCTGATTCAGCTAGCCAGTTGCAACCACTCCCAAGGTGTGGCCACTGTCACATGCAGACAGCTTCTAGGAGCCACAGGTGAGAACTGAGTGCAGGGTGGGACCAAGGTGGACAAACCACCCGAGAAGGAGCACAACGTGTCCCCCACCAGAGGTACTATGCCATCCCCTAACACCTATACACCCCATCTCCAAGAATATTCAGCTCATAACTGCACAGTTCTCTGATATATATATATATTTAATGAGCCTTCTTCATCTGCAGCTGCTCAGCTAAGACTTTTGAGGATCCAATCTTCCCCAACCAGCTGTATTTCAGATGTGTTAGACTACAGCTCCCATCAGCCTCCCACTAGCACAGATGAGCCCCATATCAAGAGACCGCCGGGTTAGTGAAGGCTGCTTTCATCCCTCTTCCTCTCGTTTTGAACGCCTCAGCATTCTCTTGCAACTACCAACCAGCTGCTGCTTTTCAACTTGTTCTTGGCATTTCTCCCTGTGGTGAGTGGTTTCTTTGTGTGCTGAAAGGGAGCCAAACGCCAGCCCCCAAAATGATATACTTGTCAAACTAAGCCACCAGCCACCACCAGCCAATGGGAGATGTGCCCTTTGAAAACTTGATTAAAATCAGAATTGGGTCTGCTTTGTAAGCATTTCAAGGCTGAGAGCCACAAAACCATCTTCTCAAAACTAGTTTGTTTGTTTTTCCATGGTGATGTAATGGCCTGGGAATCTGATTCAGAGGCTGAACCTGAGGAATCCCAGCCTGCACAGGAGTCCCAGCCTCCAGGGCCGGCTGAGCTGGGGCTGGGGCTTGAATCTGAAGGGCCCTCACCTGTGCCGGATCCTCAGGAGCAGACACAAGATGAATCCACTCTGGCTCTGGAGGTGATTGAGGACCCATTGCCTGCAGATGCTCCTCTCCCAGCCCTGTCAGGGAAAGGTGAGGTTGCCTCTGGGTCCAGTAACCCTCCAGCCTCTCCTGAGCTGCAGAGGCTCAGGGCAGAGAGGCGGAGGGAACTAAGTTCTCTCAGGAGGAGTGCTCGCCTTAAGGCCAGGAGAGGCGAGTCACCTGTGGGCCGGGACCGCCCTAGGCCCCAGAGGAGATAAAGGCCAGTCAGCCCAGTCCCAGGTTGTGGGAGCAACATCTCTGGTAATCTGTTCTTGCCAGACCCTGACCTGCTCTTCCGGAGTTCCTGACCACGCCCGGCTCCTTGCCTTGGACCCCGCTTCGCCCTTGACAGACAGCCTCCAGACCCTCGACCCAGCACCGGACTCAGACCACGCCGCACAGTAACACCCCCCCCCCCGGGACCAGCACAGGTGAAGACGTTAAGAACTTCAGAAGATAAGAGCTTCCTGGATCGGATTCATGGCCCATCTAGTCCAGCAGCCTGTTCTCACAGAGGCCAACCAGACGTCTGTGGGGAAACCTGCAAGCAGGATTCAAAAACAGGAGCACTCTCCCCTCCTGTTTTTCCAGCAGCTGGTATTCAGAAGCATTGCTGACCACAACCATCATGGCTAGTAGCCATTGATAGCCTTCTCCTCCGTGAAATTGTCCAATTTTCTTTCAAGCCATCCAAATTGGTGGCCATTACTGCCTCTTGTGGAAGGGAGGGAGTTCCATAGATCATGCACTTCATCAAGAAGTACTTTCCTTTACAGAATCAGATACTGGTTGGAAGTGTAAGGAGAAAGAAGGTACCGTTTTCATATGTGGTGGTCTTGCGAGGTAGCAAAAGCATACTGGGAAATGATATATAATGAGTTTAAAAAATACTGAAAAGAAGAAGAAGAAGAAGAAGAAGAAGAAGAAGAAGAAGAAGAAGAAGAAGAAGAAGCAGCAGCAGCAGCTGCTGCTGCTTTTCTTTTGGGAATAATAGGTCCAAAGGTACCCAAAGAATAAAGGAAATTATTTATATATGCCTCCACGGTTGCTGGAACATTATATACCCAGGAAAGAAGAAACAGTTCCAACTGAGGAAGATTGGCAACAAAAACTGATGGAGTATGTAGAAATGGAGAAACTTACCAGAAGATTAAGAAATCAAGAAGAGAGATGCTTTAATGTAGAAGGGGAAAATTTATTGACTATCTGAAGAGCTGTGGTAAACAACTCAAATCACATAAAAACGTGCAGTGAGAATAACCTAAATAGAATATAAAGGATGGCTAATGACTAGTAAATAGATATGAACTGGATATGCAGTGGGGAAAGATATAACATACATAACCATAGAAAGGGGGGAGGGGGTCGATGATTGGATGTATTAATTGGATGTGTAAATTCAGATTTGTGATTCAAATGTAAAATGCGAAAATAAAAATAAAATATTTTTTAAAAGAAGTACTTCCTTTAAATGCCCTCATCCTCCAGCATTCAGCTTCAGTGAATGCCCACAAGTGTTATGAGAGAGAGAGAGAGAGAGAGAGAGAGAGAGAGAGAGAGAGAGAGAGAGAGAGAGAGAGAGAGAGAGAGATTTAGCCACTTTTTCTATGCCATACATAAATTTATAAGCATCTATAATATCACCCCTTCCTCATCTTTTCTCTGAACCAAAAAGTCTCAAAAGCAGCAAACTTTCCTCAAGCTGAAAAAGGCGGACCCATAACCCTGGAATAAATGAAACAATATTTTGAATATGTCAGATTCTTAATCTTGCAGAGCAGTGCAGGGGAGCAGCAGCAGCTGTGTGAAAACTGATGTTCTCCATGTGTTTGGTCATCTGAACTGCAGCCAAATCGCCAAGTTCTTTCAAAT